ACAGCGCCCTCGCGGGGGGCCGCCGCGGCCATGGAGCGCCGCTGATCGCCGCCTCCGCGGAGTCGCCGCCGCGGCCCGCCGGGAGACGATGGCCCTACGCAAAGTCTGCTCGGTGCTGGAAGGTAGGAGCCGCGGGACGGCGCCGCGCTCTCCGCGGGGGAAGCTGCCCCGGGGGCTCCCGGGGCCGTCTCGCCGCGCGCCCTCCCGCCGGTAGCGGAAACTTTCGGCCGAAGAGCGCGGGGCGGCGAGGCCGCCCGCTACTCCCGGAGCCGCTCGCCTCCGTCCCGCTGGGACACGCCGAAGCTTGCCGGGCGGCCGCCGCCGAGCGTCCGCGGTCAGCCCCCGCACTGCCGTCGCGGCTGGGCAGGGCAGGGCGGGCGGCGGTGCTGAGCTGGGCTGGGGGCTGAGCTGGGCAGGGCGCGAAGTGCCGGCGAGCTCGCCCCGGTGCTCCCCGCGCGTAGCCGGAGCACGCCGAGAGCTTCCCCCCACTCCATCTTTTCACTGTTAACAATACACTTTCTGTTCTCTTAACTCTCCTAACGAGCTACGTTACTGTAGTCAGGTGCTTTTGCTTGTTGTCACGAGCGAGATCTGTTTTCTGCAAGGTTTTCACAAAACCGGTGCCTGTGTCACAAGCTGGTGCTTGACCGGTGTTCACCTCTGTTTCTCTTTCCCCTGAAGCCTGTAAATCCCGTTACTAACTTCTCGAAATGCAGGGGTAAACAGCTGAGGGCAGCCAGCTTTCCTTCTAGCCTGCCTTTATCTGTGCTATTATTTATATGGCTCAACGTGGGTGAAGGATTTGTCAGAAAATAAAGCTAAACGTGACCGTTAACCTTGTGTCTCAGGAGGGGATTTCTCGCATTCCGTATCTTCTCTAGCAATGTCAGACTCAAACTATTAGGGATTCTTTTATTAAATTATTCCATTAGGAAATTTTGGAACGTCTGATTGCATTATTGAAGCCATCAAGGCATCATTGCAGCGTGGAGAATTGATTCTGATGTGCACTGATGTCCTCCCACAGTATGAAAGTTGTAAAAAGTGATTTAAATCCAGAATGTTTCCATAACCCATAAAAGTCCATGTTCCCGACCTGAAGGATGGATGCCTTGAGGCTGTAAATAAATATTTTTCATTTATTAGCATCATAATTGACAGCCAGAAGATGCTTGCTTTCAATAAAAGCCCACTGTACGTAGGTGTTAACCAGCCACTGATTTCGTGGGAACAAAAGGCTCACTGGGCAAGGAATTGCATTTAGGCTTTTTACTTCCTCTTTAAATAACATGGTTAATGCATAGCTGAACCACGATAAAACTGCCAACAAATACAACTGATGCTTCTGCTTCTTAATTACCTTCTACATACGCAGATTTAATTGCATTTCAGAGATATGCAATTCCTGCAAATTTACCCATACAGGAGTTCTCCTGAACAGACCTCACTCTGATCTTTTATGATCACATTAGAGTCCAGTTAAAAAGAATTGTCCTTCTAAAGGAAGTTTTTGACGCAGTTTAAATATTATAAAGAACAGAAAGCCATTAGTCAGTAAGTCGTTAATATTCCAAATGCATCACTTGCCATGACTTCAGAAATAAGGTATTGTTACTTAGCACTGCACACACCCTTTTATCTCTGCACGAGGAGTCTTCATGTAGTCAGATCTGAGCACAAAGAGGGAAGAAAGATTCCTAAATAGACGCAGATTTAATCCTAAAAGGAAACTATTGGGAGGAACGTTCAAATCAAGCACCATATTTTACGAGATGCATCTTAAATCCTGCATGGAAATTAATCACAGTGACGGTAATTTTTATCTCCATACAGATAGCTTTGTTTTACTTACTGAGTTCTTATCACCTATGAAGCATAGAAACGTTTTAATATAATTCTTACTGTTTGTGTCCATAGTGTTGAGGAAACTCTTTAATGCTTCACAGTAAGTACTGGAGCATCTCTTACTCTGGTTATTTGCCCTCATCTGAGTTTGCCAAGTATTGCTGCATGGAAATGGTGCTGGGCCACAGCAGCACTGAGGCTGCAGCAGCACTGAGGTTTTGTGGGCCATGCCCACCTGCTTCCTCAGCAGCACAAGGCACAGATCGGAGGCTGAGGTGCTTGCTGTGAGTTGGACATCTACGGGCAGATCCTTTTCCTCCCATCTCCAGCTCTCAATGTTTTGGACACCACTGGAAGCATTCTTGAATCCTGGCACAGCTTGCAGAATGCAATTGCTCTACAATAATAAGGCACTATCATCCTCTCCTTCATACAAGAGAAAAGCAGCTGCTTTCTTTATAAAGCCTTGTTTCTATTACACACTAAACTAAATATATCTATCTTAAATTTCTATGTATCTCCTGTTGCCCCAAAAGATATAGGCTAGAGGCTTCTAGTTCCCTTCATTTCCAAGCATGACTAGTACAAAAAAAACAGCAGCAAAGAACACAGATGCTGAATTACATTAACCTTAAGTTGAATCCTGACTGCGTTTGTTTGGGACTATTTCAGTTATTGCATTGGATTACCTCAAAAAGCCAGCTAGAGAATTTGGTCATTTGGTCCTGATAATGCAACAGCTAGGGCTAGTACAAATGTCCACTACTCCTAGGAAGCCAACACTGCCAACCTTCCAGTAAGGTACAGGATTATTTCCAACTTGGGCAGGTTGCAAGAACATGTACTGCTATGATTAACTTGCTGCCATTCTGCTCAGTCCTCTCATTTGCATTTTGGCATGATTTTAATAGCTAACTTCTCACAAATATGTAGCACTTGGAAGTAAAGCTAGGAATTACAGCCTCCTGCTCCCAAAATCAAAAGGTGTAACAATGACCCAGGAAGCTGAAAATGAGCAGAGAAAAATAAAAATTAAAAGACAAGTTCATGACTTGTCTGCTGAAACCAAGAGGGGAGTATTGTCTGTAGAGGCTGCAAGTGGCCCTAATGAGGGCAGTATCAAGTATAAGCCAGAATTTCGTTTTTTGTCTAAAACCAGGAGCTATTTGCAATCTTTTCTGCTGCACTGAAAGAAAGCTGAGCACCAGACAGCTTGTGCTGTCAAGCAGTTAAGCAGAAGTAACTCAGGTAACTGTAGAATAGGTTTGAAAAAGCTCTTATGTTCTAAACAGGTATCTGATGGTATGTGCTATGTGTCATTTTTAGTACATATTGAAACAAGTATCCAAAATACGCTGCTCTCAGAGTAGCATAACTTCAAAAGCATTAGCTCTCTAGTTCTCCCAAGATGTATTTGACAATGACTGCTACAGGTTTTTTTACAAAAACTAGTTGGTTCTAAATATAATGATATTAATAGAAAAGTTCAGTTTCATAATCTGGTATATAGATGTAGCTGGAGTGCTGACTGACACTGGACTGAAGCTGAAGGAGCTGCTGAATTATGTATCCCTGTCTCCAAAAAAGCCAAGATGTTCTGCACCTTCCTAAGGTTTAATTCATGGAGAGAGATTAGACAGAAAGATTACTCCCCAAGTGAAACTTTATAAGCTATTAATCATTTATGAACCTGTCAGAAATTCACAGTGTAATTCATTGCAGGGATGGTGAAGAGAGCTGCTAAATATCTGCAATTGTACCACAAATTGTGTGTACTCTTGTACACACTATTTACACACCAAGCAGGTTACACGTGCAGAGATGGACATGCTTATGTAGACAGAAGCACAATCTTAATTACAGTGTCTTGGCTGCAGTTGGGGTTGTAGCACTGCAAACTGGCTTGCTGCTTTTCTGCCCTGTATATTCCAACTTGTTTTTTAATTAATGAAACACTTGGCAGTCTTGGACAACTTACATAGCTTGCTCCCTTTCTTGATATATGACTGACAGCTGATGCCTCAAATACAGCAAGTGAATGGGGTGGAGGAGTGTAAAATTTTCAACCAAAAAAAACAGCAGGTAGCCTTTCATTAAAAAAATCCATATTCCTTTTATTTTAGCTTATCTTTGTGCTTCTCTCCATGTTCTGTTATTATGAAGCTGACCCACTATGCATCAGGAAGGGACTGCCAAGATGTTAACAATGCCTATCACAAAACCTCCTCTTCTAGCAGACATTAAAATCCATGAACACAGAGCAGTCTCTTTTCAATGGACTGAGACTGGAGAGCCAGGAAAAAAAAAATGATACTCTATATTAGCTGCTCTCAGACATGACAGAAGGCAGCAGAACTTTCAGTACTAATTCCAAGATAGATATTCCTGAAAAAAGAAAAAGGAAAAAAAAATCACTGAAAAAAACCCCACTATATTGATAATAAAGAGGTGAAGAAGTTTGATACAATCTGATCTAAATCAAAAGTATCAATATCCCAGCAGCGTAGTAGGAGTACATAATCTCTGGGAAAGATTATTCAGGATAGAAATGTGCAGCAGGATCCGTTCTGTCAGCTACAGGGAAACCACCTAAACCTTAAGCCAGTGTATTTAATTTAGTAAGGTTTTTGGAATCCCTCATCAACATGGTTTACAAACGCAGCCTTCTCAGCAGTCTATTGCTGCACCCAGCTTGGAGATGAAAAAGGATATTCCAAATAATGAAGAAAGCTTCTATCTTCAAAATAAAAAATAGTATTCCTCTGGCAGAAGTTTTGCTGGCAGAGATACCCAGAAATGGATTATAAGTAAAAGGATGTAGAGCAAACTGGTAGAATGAAGCAACCCACAGCTGCTCAACTATTCCTAATGGAGGCAGGATCAGAAACGTTAAATGTTTTGAGCAAACCTGGAGGGGACTCTGTCACAGATCCATCCAAGCATGAATTGCTCTGCGGATGATTTGATCAAAGGGAAGTGGGAAAACTGCATGTACTTCCTAAACCAGTTAACCTCATTTCTCTGCAGAGATACGGACTCTAAATTTGTTGAGGTTTTTTTTTTGGCAATCTTAAAGAGAGGAATCCCTACTGAAAACAGCCAGAGAGATGAAACTCTTTTATCTGAGCATAGACCTGGGTGCATTCAGACACCCTGCCAGCCCACTAATGGCTAACGAGATTTGGATCTTAGAAAGGTGCTAGAGTCACTGTAAATAGCTGATGAAGCCCACTTCTGCTACATTGCATTTGTGAGAGGATTAAAAATGGGATGGCCG